AGGGAGAGAGAGTATACGATTATTAGCTAAAATTATTTCACATTTCATATAAGTGCAACCTAAGAGAAAACGGCTGGGTCAAATTCTCTTGTATTATCAGTATATTCTGTAATTTTTCAGTGTTTGTATCAAGAAACTAAAGCTCTGTTCCATCTTTAAATCTATCTCTAAATTTATAGGAGCTTATGTTTATATACTCTATTTCGCAATTGATGGCAGTAAGATAAATTAGGTGGTTTTTGCTAACAAATTAGGTGGTTTTCGCTAAGTTGAAGATCTAATGCTTACAATACCTTTGCTCCCAGCTCAAAACTGGCGCTTTCTTATCAAACAGATACTTGTCGAGGCTACCATTGCGCATGTAATCGTAGACCAAGAGGAGCTGACAGTTTTTCCTACACCAACCATAGAGCTGGACCAGGTTCCTGTGCCTGAGTCTCCCTATGCTTTGTATCTCTGATAAAAACTCTCTTAGCCTTTGCTCTGATTCATGTTGTACTCTTTTCACTGCAACTTCCAAATCTGAGTTGGGCAAAACTCCTCTGTAAACCTCTCCAAATCCTCCACAGCCAATTAGTCTTTCGGCCTTGAAGCCTTTGGTTGCTGTATAGAGCTCTTTGTAAGTGAATTTTTGGGGCCCATACTCCAACTCCCACTCTTCCACCTTCTTCTTCTCTGTTCGATATCGAACAATGTATACAGTGAATGCAATGGCAGATAGTGCAAGGAACACGGCTGCCAGGGATATACCAATCTTAGCACCCATGGATAATCGACTACTTGATGAAGATATAACTCTTGGATACCAAGGAAGACGAGAGAGATCTAAATCTTGAGCTCTGTTGTTCACTTCAAAGCTCCAACCCAGAATGAAATGGCAACTTGCGAGCATGCCCGTACTCCCTGAAAATCCCACGTACATAAACTCCTGAAAAATAGAGGAAAGATCGACCCTGTAAGAGAGCAAAGGCCGGCTGTTTCGTCCTGATACTCCAAGAGGAGAGAGAGTCACATTGAGCAGCTGCTCTGTACCATTGTAATCTATCCACACTTGAATTGGGTCTCCACTCTTGAGGCTTAAATTTTGCCTGTTGGTGTTTTGGCCATCTGGTGTGTAATAACCGGCAGGGGCCGATGCATTAGACCGCAAGCTATTGAGATCGATACCGACATGGTTATTGTTGATGTCCAGGAACTCGATGTTTTGGATGGTGTCGAATTCCACTGCAAATATATGGTTATTGGGGTCTCCATTGCTCGTTGCATTGAACAAACCAAGAAATTGGGCAAACATAGCTCCTTGAAGTTGGGTTGAACGAGAGATTACGAAGGCAAATCCACTAGCTGGTTCGGGGTTCGGTAGGCTTATTGCGAAAACAAAGGATGTGGAGAAAGAGAATACAGAGCCTTCTGAGGAGTTTTTGAATTGTAAAGGAATGGGATGGAAGGCATGGCCAATTACTCTCAGAGAGTTGTTGGTTAGTTGCAGGGCTCCACTTGAGGTGATCTCAGAGCCTGATAGAGTCATGTTGGCTCCATTGAAGTTTGAGTAATTGAAAGCATTGGAGACAGAGAAATTGAGGTCGATTACAAGAAGAGAGAGAAACAAGGCTTGCAGTGACATGGATGGTTTCATGGGGTCACAGTTACAGAGGTTATTCCTGGTGTTTTTAGTTTTTAGAGCGACAGAAGACAGCATTAGTCCTGGTGGACAACAGGTTCTTTCTCTCTGTTTTTTTTTTTTTCCCCCCGTCTTAGAGAGAGAAGGAAGCTAAGACTCCTGAAATAATAAAAGGTTGCCAAAACTTTTCAAGGTTCTTTTTGTTCTTAGAGAGAGAAGGAAGCAAAGAGTGGAAGAGAAGCTTCCATGGATACTTGGGTGAAAAGAAGGAGGTGATGAATAGAGGGAAAAAGAAAACCAGAAAGGAGCAAACTTTCAAATTATTAAATTTAAAAAAACCCCATACCCTAACCTGCGTAACTAAAAGAAATCAACTATTGTGTAATGCCGTGATTGTTTGGAGGAATCGTACCCCATGTGAAGGCCCATTTTCTTGGACTTTGATCTGCGGTCCATTGACTCTCTTTCTTAATATTGATTTTTTAATATAAAAGCAAATTTGGGACGAAAACGGTAATAGTATAGGAGGCAAGTGGCCGGCCTTCGGCTGGGCCAGCCCGGCCTTAGACCGTCCTGTCTCTAAGCCAGCCCTAGCTCTGTTATGGTAGGGCCAGGCTGGCCTGCACTGGCTCTCAGGCCACAGAAGTTAGGTCGTTGGCCCATTGCGCCCTATGTGAGGGTGGTCATGGACCGGGGCAGCTGCCAATGGACCAGGCCAGCCGTGGCCCCGGTCTGCCTTATCCCCGTAGGGCTGGGCTAGTAGGGGCCAATAAAAATTGAAAAAAAAAATAAACCGTAAAACAAGGAAAAAGATGGCCTCGCCGAACCAGGCTTGGCCCTAGCCTAGCTCTCAAGCTATAGTTTGCGGCCAAAGTCCTACTTTTTTAAGTCGGGCTGAGTGGCGCCGCCCAGCCCAAAGGGAAGCCCTTTAAATTATTTTTTATTTTTATAATATTAAAACTTTTTCAGACTTTTTTTTATGGTGAGAGAGGAAACCTACAATTTTGGGATACGCCTTGCATCACAGCCCACACTTATTCAAAGGTTCTAAGAATAGGTGCATGGAAGTTAAGGCAATGGTTAAGTATGAGTCAGCGCACAGCTTTTCTTCCTGGTGGTTTACAGATTCAACATCACTCTTGTTCCCTTGAGCGTCGTATGACGTAATTTCTCCGTTGCTTTCAAGATGAGTTAAAACGTTTGAAACGAAAAATTATCGGGTACGAATACTTCCTCTATGTTCTTGAGATCCACATGTTTTTGGCCCTCTTTCCCATTATTATGTAAAAAAAAAAAAATGTTTATATAAGATTGAAACTTTAAAATGTAGAATTAAAGGTGCATCTCAAAAATCTTTTAGAAAAAAATTGTTTTAATATTGAAAAACCTTTTAATTGATCATCTCGACTTCGAAATGCATGAATATGAAAACAAAAAGAGATTTTGAGTCTAAGAAATAGTACATCTTACGATACGTTATTTAGACAGTTCATTTTCAAGATTTTCATATGTTTATAGATCTACTGGATTTTAGCCATTTTTTAAGGTTGCAATTGTTTAAGGTTGTAACTTTATAGAAACCACATCCTTTTAAAAAAAATGATTCTCCATTTTATGTACAAAATACTATCACTGCCACTTGAACAATTAGACATCCAACATGTAATCACAACGACAAAATTACAAGAGCGGAGCTCTACCAATTGAGCTTATATCTCTCCGGCTAATGGAGCATTCAAGAACGAATTAGATGCTTCAGTATTCCATGGTTCTAATAACCCATATTGGACTTGAGCCAAAGAACTCACCCATTAAACAAATCATTACAACTATGATCCAACCAATTGGGAGAGAATCAAGAGATTCTTTTGCGAAAATATTCTTGTTTTCACCTTCTTGTGTCTACATTATCAAAATGTCTCTCTTGGTTTTTCCAAAAACTTGCCAACATCATGAAAAATATCATTTGAATTAAAAATGGATCCCCCCAAATTGTTTTCGTTTTGCCCTACCATGCAGCAGTTAAAGAAGATTTTCATTTAAAATATGACTTTTCGATTTAAAATATGACTTTTAAATATGTAGTAAATCATGGCATGATTTACTATAATATGTAGTAAATCATGCCATATAATATTGTTGTGATCATAGTTAGCAGTTTCCATATTTAATATGACTTTTCAATGTTGTTGTGATCATAGTTAGTAGTTTCTATATTTAATATGACTTTTCGATTTTTTGAAATCCGATAAGAACTCGGAGTTCATCAAAAGATCTTCAAAACTTATATTTTTAATAAAAACTTTTAAAAAAACCTTCTTCCCCCTGACTTTATTTCTTTATTAACTTAATAGTATTGAATTTTGGTTTAAAGATAAGTACATTAACAATGAGATTAAATCAAGAATCTTGATTTAACAAAAAATTCTATAAATTTTTTACCAATGAGTTTTCTTTAAAAAAATGTACGAAAAAAATACAAGCAATACATTCCCTAAAAAAAGTAATCAAAACAATCATATATGTCAAAATAATAGGTTGAATTAGAAGAAGAGTAATCCAATGAAATTTTTTTTTTTTTCCTTGAAACCCATAATGTCCTTATAAAGAGCAAGAGGGAGATTCAGTGGTACTAAATATTTAGGTAGCTAGGAATTCAATGCGGGATTCCATTTTGCTTAAGCTTTTTTATTTTATTTTATTTTATGCATAGATAAGTTTGATTAATTTTATTTTTTATTTTTTATTTCATTGGCGTATACAACATAACATGTTAGATGGATTACTATTTTACATATTTAGGTCTTTGCTTTTTCTTTTAATTAACTATTATCCTATATTAAGGGTGTTTTTTTTTTTTCTTTGATATACAATCCTATACCTTGGTTCACAGTTCTTGTTATTTGCTAATTAGTTCTTGTGTTTAGCATTGTTGTTGTTGTTTCATTTTATACTGCCAATAAATTACAATATGTTTTGTATTGTGATAATAAAGTAAGCATTGTTGCTGGATTTATTAAAAGTTTCAACAAAAAATTGTATAGTATTAATCTAATGACACTATAAAATTAATGTTTAATGGATAATATATCTATACAATAAATACAAATCATAATCCTATATTATGTTATATTTACATATTCAATTTTTTTACTTTGTTTTTTTGAACCAAAACTAAAATATTCATATTGTTATAAACTTATCTTATTTTTTGATGAACGAATATTTTCCTCAGATTATTTGAAATAAAACCGATTTATTACCGATATTTTGGTCTACCCATATTATGGTTGAAAGCAATGGTTTAAAAAATGGATCGGTGACCAGGATCGGGCACCCAAAAAACCGATCCGGATCGACAAATCGGCGATCCGGATCGGGAATAGGGTGAATCTGTCAGAATAAAGCTTAAAAAAAATCCGAAAAAATTATTAAAATTCATTATAAATATTGTTTTTTAGGAATTCAATAAGAAATGAGGGTACTCCATTAAGAATTTTCATGTTTTTGAATAAATATGTGAATATTGATATGTTCTTTCCCTGCATGAATCGCCATTCAGCATTTAATTTACACCACACAAAAGGATAAACATAGAATTATCATGGAATAAGTATATCAATATACATGGACTACAATAAAGCATAAAATTAGTAATATATGATCTAAAAATAAAATGATATACGACGTTATTGTTCTTTTTGGTCACGCTGGTGCCATTGATTGAATTCGTTTAACAATTCATTGATTCGATCTAAAAACGAATCATCGATATTAGCAGGCGTCTGACTATTCCCAAATCCCTGAGTGTTAGTGTTTTGTTGTGTTCCCAATCTAAAATCCCCGAAGCTTGTCCATCCTTCATGCTCACCTGCACTGTCGTGCTCATCCCTACACTGTTGCTGTTGGGACTCGATATGTGAATAATATGGCTGGGATAGGGTGGCCTCAGAATCATCATCTATCTCATTTTCTCTTTGAATAATATGGATTAAAAATAAAAATTAACAAATTTTCAAAAAAATCGTTCATGGATTAAAAAAAAAAAATCACAAATTTTCAAAAAATTCTATCATGGATTACAAAAAAAAATTCGATCATGGATTAAAACAAAAAAATCACAAATTTTCAAAAAATTCTATCATGGATTACAAAAAAAAATTCGATCATGGATTAAAAAAAAAAATCACAAATTTTCAAAAAATTCAATCATGGATTACAAAAAATTCGATCATGGATTACAAAAAATTCGATCATGGATTACAAAAAATTCGATCATGGATTACATAAAATTCGATTATGGATTACAAAAAATTAGATCATGGATTACATAAAATTCGATCATGGATTACATAAAATTCGATCAT